GGCAAAGTTTGTTTGTAATTAAGCACAAAGCTACACAATGGTCTATCTCTGCTCTGCCCACCACGGGTATCGAAACCCAGGTTCTAGCATTGTAAGTCCGTAGACATACAACTGTGCCACTGGGGAGGGGGCAAAGATTGTTTGTAATTAAGCACAAAGCTACACAATGGGCTATCTCTGCTCCGCCCACCACGGGTATCGAAACCCAGGTTCTAGCATTGTAAGTCCGCAGACATACCGCTCTGCCACTGGGGGTTGCTTTACACATGTCCTCATTTTCATTCTCGTTGATGCCCTGAACCTGTTCTTAGTGAAACGAACAACTATTCGCATTTTACTTATAAATAATGATTGAATAAATTGAGATTATGTATTGAGTTATGTTAAAACTTAAATGTATAACGTCACACGATTTTATTTATTACGTTTTAAGGAAACGTAAAAATGAACGCCCTATAACAGTCTACGAGGCTGCTGTCGCATCTTACATTTTTATCTCCAAATATCTAATTTCTGAAGACATACGGTGTTGAAAATAATTAAGGAAACGCGAAGGGGATACACCTATAGGAGTCACAAACAATAAATAATGGCGACTAGACGGTTAATTTATTAATGGCACCAAACATTATCACAGAAAGTATAAAACAAAAGCTAATCAACTGAGAAATGCGCTAGTATTTTGTGTAAGAGCCCTCTGCGTTACCTTGTTTTCATGCGGACATACACTGCATTAATGTACAGCCCCCCAGTGGCACAGCGGTATGTCTGCGGACTTACAACGCTAGAATCTGGGTTTCGATACCCGTGTTGGGCAGAGAACAGGTAGCCATTTGTGTACCTTTGTGCTTAATTACAGACAATTAATGTACAATTGTGGCATATTGTTCCAGATGCCCCGTATTATTCCCCATAATCCAATCAAGCTCTTAGATCGCCTTTCTACCTCAATCCCTATACAAACTCACGAATATGAATATCAGGACATTTTGCAGGCTATGCCATGATTGTGGCTGTTCCATTGGTCTCTATTCCGTTGAGATAGCGTTAGATCAGATTTGCCGTATGTTTGAGATCATTGTCTTACTAGAAGGTAAATCCACCACTCGATGAATCGTGTTCTTGAGGGAATGGTATGATGGAACAGAATTTGCATGTACTTTTCAGCAGTCAGGGTGCCATCAGTTTTGTATAGATTACTGACAGACACCATTAACTAAGATATAGTCCCAAATTTCTACTGATTCTCACTTTGCTTCACTGTAGTTTTTGTACATTGACTATGATACTTTTCCTATCTCTTTGCTGTTGTTACCAGAAGCCTTCAAGTTGTTTACTGTCTTTTAATTCGTCATATTTTATTTTTCATAGCTATACCTTACAGTACTTTGTTTTCCAAGCTTATTCCTTCTGAATGTCAATGAAGAACTTCCATGATTACCTCTTTTACCTCATCAGATATTTATATCCTGCGAATATAATCGTGCTACATTTGATAAACGTTCTTCTCGTGCGAGCTTCTCAGATTTTTCGTTTAGCTTTACCCCTGCATGATCTGGAATATACATACATGTGATTGTCTTACCCTACAGTTGATTTGCTTTATTTCATCCATCAGGATACCACCACTCTAAATCTTATGTAGTTCTGCCTGTGAATCAGGTGCAAATATGGTGTTTGTGGCGTTGCTCATTTGTGGTTTATTGCTTTCAGCAATCAAGAGCAAAGCTAGCTTTAAGGCTTCCAGCTCTTTTCTTGTGCTGTTTGTAGGAAGCTTTAATGCTTCATCAGCCTAATGCAAATTATTGTTGCTTTATGAAATGATGAATGAACAACCAGCTCTCTCGCTGTTTCATCCTCTGCCCAGTCTCTATATATGTTGTCTAGGCTAATCTCCACAGATCCCAGTTGATATTTTGGGGTATTTTTCCCGTGTAAATTTGAAAAGTGGTGGTGACGAATTATCTCAGTGCTGTAGCACTTGTCCACCAATGACTGTCTAATGAGACGCCTTTTAATTAAGCAATCCCCCTTCTTGACTGGTGTCTGCGGGATCATGTGGAGCTACAGTTTTCCAATTGAAAAGAACAGTAGCTCGTTAATGGAATGTATGGGCTTTACACTGCAAGACATTAGTGAAGAATTTTGCTTGTAAATGCTTTTGTTGTTTTATGATGCTTCTGAGGCTTGTGAGTGAGGTATATTAGAGCTTTGATGAAGTACATCCCATGACAGTCTTAGAATTGGTGTTTTGTATCTTTTCAATCTTATCTAGTTGCGTAGCATTCATATTAATCATCGGTTGTGCTAATTCAGAATGGAATGGATAAGACTTTGGTAGAGCATAAGCAGACGATTTCTTCAGGTTTATATCCTGCTGCATCGTCCAATGCATTGATGCCTTTAGTACCTTCATGTACTTCTTCAGTGTTTCTTCTAAAAGGGTAGCAGTGCTCACATAGGATGTGAAGGCTTCTTCTCATCAGCGTGGCTGTGGCAGGAGTGATGCTCATTCCTAGGTCATTGCACCATTTCATACCCCTGCTAATGGATGGTTGCATCTTGTTTTTGATTTCAGTTTTGCTAGATCCTCTGTTGTACATCAGAATTTCATTAGAAAAGGTTACCACACGGGATTTGATAGAACTTTCAATGCGAACTACATCTACAACTTAGCTGTTGAAAGAGATCTGGCGAAAGTAGTGATCTATTATGCAGACCAGTGTTGATGACGATCCAATCTGATTGCCAACCTCCATGCTTCACAATGCATCTTCTGGTAGTTAATATGGATAAAACCCATCTTATACATGTTACACTAATGCCTATTCTAAGCATTTTGCCAGCACGGACATTTTCCAAATCTAATACTACTGTGAAGGTGTTCTGATAAACTTCAAAGTCTCCCTATGTATCCGCTGTGAATTCAGCAGCATTGATCCAGATTTCTCTTCCACTGCAATATCCACCAAGAGATATTGGTAGTAGTGATTCAATCTGATAAGCAAACCCTTTTAGCTATAGGCTTCTCCGAGGTCTTACCAATGATAATAATGAGTCGATGACTCAATGGTCTTTTGGAAGAGAGTGATCCTTCATGGGTTTTGATAATAATTTGATAAAAGCATCATTCCGTTTTTCATGGATATTAGTTGTTTTCCAGCTACGTTGATACCTAACACTAACTTCAACAACAATCTTTACTACTTATATCCCTATTAATTTCATTTATGTATATAAGAAAACCAAAAGTCCAAGGTGTTTCTCCTGAGGCACTCCATTAGTAAGAATGGTACAGTTTGATTAGACTCAGTTAATAACAACCTTTTGTTTTTCCAATCCTAAAACCCTATATTTCAAGTAACTAAACTTTTCCCAAATTGCTACAGAGGTACTTTTCTTTGCTAATCTTTCATGTGACACTTTATCGAAAGTCCACACTTGTTTTCCATCGTCCAGATAACAAGTATCATCATTGGAAATTTTAACAGATTAGTAAGACAAGATTTCCCTTTGGCAACTCTATGGTGGCTTTCATTTATATCATATTTCACTAGATAATAGTGTGAAGACTCTCTGATTACACTCTCTAGAAATTGCCCCACTGTAGAAATGAGAATTAGATATCTATAATTTTCAGAACAACTTTTATCCTTAATATTACAATATAATAATAATACAGATGCATAAGTGTTCTCCATACTTTCATTACTCCTCGACATGTTATATATTCTGCTATCAGCAACAAAAAAATCTGCTTATCGTTCGCACGAAATAAAAAACTAATAATATTTCTGTTTTGTTTTAGTTTTTAATTAAACCAAAAATCGGTCTTCTGTTTTCAAAACTACTTGTCGATCTGTTAGGTTATAATAGAATGTAAAACTTTAAGTAAACTTAACACGAAATTATTTCGTTGCGTTAAGTCCACGAGTTACAAGTTTTGTCGAAACGTCACAACTCTCTTATCAAATTTTTTTTCTACGGATTAACTCGCAATGTTAGTCAAAATAATGGGAAACTTCAGTTCGGACTCCGGATATCAAAATAGTACAGTTTACAACTACGTCTATCAACTCTGAGAAAAACGGCTAAGGAACCGTTTTACACGTGTGTGACATTAGTTTGTGAGAAGAACATCTCATATTAAGAAATAGAAGTGCCCTATTAGCTCATTGGTAAATTGACCCCAGTGATAACGCTGCTTAAACGCTTATACTTGTTCATAGGGTCCATCCCTTTACTTTATTTATGTCATGGTATTACGTTAAAGAATGAAACTTTGAAAACATTTCAGTGAAACTGAAAATTGAAAGACAATCATAGCATGAACAAATATTATACTCTATCATGTAGGTGTTACAGGGTCATTGTTATTAAGATGAAGTCTGGAGAACCTCTTTCTTCATTACCTCCAGAACCAAGTACTCTTCATCTCTCTACATACAAAGTAGTCCATTTGGAAAAGGGTCACGGAGCTTATCTTGCTGAAGCATTTACAAGGTGTGCAAAAAAAAATCAAGAGAAGTGTTTAACTTATATAAAATAATAATTAGAGTAACTTTTCCTAATTAAAATGTTATAAAGAGGCTAGTAAAACTAACTCTTCTGGCTTTGTGTTAATTGATAATCTTGTAAGATATAAACAAGGTATACGTTAAGAAGTTATTTTCTGTTTTGAGTTACTACTCCCTGTTTTCGATCTAAAACTCGCATATTTGTAGTTTAAAACTGTTATTGTTTACAATGTAAAAAGGGTTAAGTATGACTAATACACATTTATAATCTTATCGTTTTTCAGAAGAATTTGAGCCGAAGCTAGTTCTAACTTAGTTCTGAATATCATATCGTTTTCAAAATATATATGAATATACTATTGTCAACTTATCACATTTTTTTTTAAATATGAAACAAATCGGGTAATATTAGATAGCAAAATTCAAACTGCAAACAACAGAGGACTGAAGGTTCGTGCCTCTATTAGCTGTGTTATATCAATAATAGTTCACAGTGATAGTGTATAACGTAAATGTATAGACAAAGACCACGCCGAGATAAATCCTTTCGAGTAATTAAAGCAATTCTTTGACTAAAATGAATATTATATTTGTTACATTTTTACATTCATCGACATTAAATGAAACTACGTTATCAACATTCTGTTTATCAAGTGAACATTTCGTCACTGAGGTTATCATAGGAGATGGCCGTTACAGTATCTGTAATAAGTTTCCTGACCAACCGAACAGATCCGATTTGAGGTCTGAAAGATCTACCCTGCAGGAATTAAAAACACAAGAACCTGCATTAGAATACGAGAACATTTATGATGGTGAACTTGCTCCAAGTGCAAACTACTCAGGCTATGTCGAGTTGCAAATCACTGGTCTAAATGGAAAGGTATTTACAACATTTATATTTCTAAAAGTTCGTGTAACAAAAAATATACTCAATGTTCAACTTTATTAGTCATTTTAACTCATTTATATTATATTGTCAAACAAAGCAAAGCAATAAACTAAAGGTACAGTATTAATACATATGCAAATTAACCTTTAGATATACAAGTTTTCGAATTTGTCATTTTTAATATATATCTTTAGAACTACGTACATAAAAAGTATAAGTTATCTCTTGTATTTTTTGAACGCTAGATGGCAGTATGAATATAATAAAAAATCTATGGTGGGTAAGGAACTAGAAGTGATTACGTTAAAAGAATGTGAGCGTTCGTAGCTTGAGCATTTTTACATTATTATATAGTGATGTATTATATAATTTTTGAATATTCTAATATATTTCTATTACTCTATTGCGATGAAAAAGTGTAGTTTTAACGAAGTCGTACTTGAAATTAATTTACTTCGGTGCTTACGTTAAGCCTAATACAGTAGCTAACAGTAACCAACTAAAATTGGTTATAAAATGTATATCGAGCAATGTTTACTATTCGTTGTGTTAAAGTTAAACAGTCAGATATCTAAGAATACACCTATAAAGGCTTATCTGAATTGTACTTTCATAACAAATTTACAGATGCTCGATCAGCCTTCATCATATCTGAAAAATACATCGAGTTGACATGTTATAGAATTGTAATTTAGTAATTTATAAAAATAGTGTCCACTGCCAAGTATTCATATCAGTGTCCTTGTAATGTAAGTCGTAATCTACATGTACTGATGTAGCCATAATGCGTCTACCTCAGGCCTGATAAACTGCTTGAAGTTGAAAACGTTTCAATGTTTGACAATTTTTTTTTGTAGGAGGTTGAGAGTATGCATATTTGGCATGCCCTCTCGTGGTTTCGAAATATTAGCAAGTATAATGTGCATAAATTAGTTATGCTTGCATCATAGCATGTTTTAATGGAATACAAATTATAGCAAGGGAAAGGAGTAATTTAAAAACTGATTGTGAAATCTCAGTAATTAATGATCAAACAAACACACTTTAACTGTTTCTTGCTAGGTTGTTTTTTTTTACACTACTGTTTAATTCTTTTCAGACTGTAATAAATATTAAGCTGTTTGACATGACTATTGTGAGCTCTTCATGAATTATTTTGTAACTAACTTTATTCATGGATTGCAATTATATGAAAAATATGTTATTTTATTATTTTGTATTTCCTGTATGCAATTTAGACAAAAACTAATAAAAAGCTAAATTGAGTGCATTCAAATACAAACAATTATTCATAGTTAAATTGGTTATCAGAAAACCTCTTGATTCAGGTGCCAGCCAAAAAAATAATGCATGTATATATATAAGTATATATATATATATATATCAAGACTATTATATTTTTCAGACTTTAATCATATATTACTTTTTTTTTTAATTCTATGCAGCTATATTAGAAATGTGGCTAACACTAGTATCTTAGGTGTATCTTGAAGTACTTTAACTACAGCTAATTTTTATTCATATGCATAACTGGTATAGAGAGTTTATAATTATATTAACTTTACATATATTTCAGCATGCATTAACATAAAATTATCTGATTCAGAACTCATAATCTAATTTATTCAAATAAAGCTAGCAAAAAATATTTTGCAGATAACTAAGGAAAAATTTGTTGTTGTTGTTTTTTTTTCAGGTGCTATCCAAACAAAGTCCTTATTTCAGCTTAATACAAACTGGTATGTTATGGAAAATTTGATTTATATAAAATAATAATGTTAAGTAACAGTTATGTAGACACTTTCCATGGAACTATTTGTATGGCAGACAGTAAAGTTAGGTTTTTTAAACAGAATTAATAATCACTGCTTTTCTTAAATAATTCATAATGGAAATTACGTTTATTAATAAATAATGTAACTTGGAGAACACAATCTGTCAATTTTGCATACTTAATGAATGGCTAGTGTCTAACCAGTCTTCAGTTTAATTAATCTTACATGCACAATCTTTCACGGAGTACCATCAAAACTGGTATTATATATATGTTTGATGTCAGAGTTATCGGCTATTCGTTTCCCCCTACATTGCTAATTTAGCGACAGTCCATGGTAAGGGAGAGTAAATATCAGATACAATATACACGGATGTATTTTGGACATGCTAGAGGTTATGGAAATGTAATATTCAAACTGTACAGTTGACAAAAGTGTATTTATTCTTCAAACGAACATCATCTTCTAATGCATCTTGTCAGGGTCCGAGTCAAACTGATGTTGTCACTTCACAAGCATGTCTTGAATGCAAATAAGTTTTACAACATGCCTGAGTTTTTGTGTACAACAGACTTGTACATTTTTACTAAAATCTTGCCAGATTTTGTAGAGATATGCTAAGAAATTCAGAATTATATTAAACATTCCTTCTCTGGTGTGGATAGGCCCGATAGACTTGACTCCCTTGCACACTTGGTTAATGTGATTTATGGATTGATTTACAAGTTTGTTAGTTTTAAGTACAATAATAATATTTTCTTAGAAAAATAATTCAATAAAGGGTAGAACTTCTGAGCTTTTTGTATTTTATTACACACAACTTTTTGTGTACAAAGTTTACCCTTTTATCTTTAATATCTTAACTATTTCGTGCATGATTGAATAAAGAACTTTGAAAAATACCTTAATTTTTTTACATGAAATTGTAATGTTTTCACCAACAAATATTTTAGTGGAGCAAATTAATAAATTTGTGTTCATTTATTTTGTAGTAGTTATATGTTGTATTTTTTAGGGTCTACTCCAAAACCAGAACCAGTTGAAAGTCTAATGACTGTTATTCTGGGTATTATTTGTGGACTTGTTCTTTTGGTGCTGGTGTTTGTTTTGATCCAATGTGTTGTCAGGTATTCTTTCTTTTTTATGGTTATTAGATGATAAAACAGAATGTCTTCGATAGTTTAAACATATCAGAGTTTAGTATTTACTTAGGTTTGCAGGAGCTCTTTAGTATTGAATTCAACATTCAGTGTCTTATTTACATAAGAAAAAATTCAGTTCTCAACAAGTAAATATTTAGTGATACAAGTATGATAATGGATAGTTGAATTCGATTATGAGATCTTTTATTTCTCTATTACACAAAATGTTCGACAACAATGATTGGTTTTTTTCTTTTTGCAACTATAGCAATGTGTACATTTTTGCACCAAGTTATGCTGTATAAGGATTTTTATTCTGAAACCTTAGACTTTTCTATTTCATATTCAATGCAATTTAACCTATAAGCTGAGGATCTCTCTCTCTTGTAGTATGTTTAAATATTTAACAATTCATAATGGGCTTATATAATTGTATATACATTACAGTTTTCTTAAATCCAACAGTGGTAAACAAATTTGTATTTCATGATTACTGTCAATATTTTCATAATTTTCTTAGGTTTGATTTATGTGGTTAATATTTTCCATGTTTTAACCATATTTTGTGCTGTAATTAACCTCATAATCTGGTATAATCTAAATTTTAATGACATACAGAAAGAAAAATAACCATCTTTATGAGGAGGAAGGAAATCGAATTGGTCTGACAGCTCTAATTCGTAGAACTATTCATAAAAATGGACATGTCCCAAAAGGTAATTAAAGATTTTGGTACTTTTTGTCTAAAAATGAATTTCTAGCAATTTTGTTTTGTTCAAGTCGGTTTAATATCCATGTTTCAGGGAAAATTACTTTAACATTTTGTACATTGTGTCAGTAATATACATTACCTGTGTGCAATAAGCTTGTTTTTTTTATCACACTTTTTCAAACTTTATGTATACATAAAATCTAAATGGCATAATTAAGAATAACTTATCTTCTTTCAGGAAATCATTTATCAAAGGCCTCCTACATTGGTCCTCTGTCAGCCGATGATCTACCAACTGCTTATATGGAAAAACATAAAGATAATGATCTCATTTTCCAGAATGAATTTGAGGTAACAAATAAACACCTGATGATGACAAAACCTTGTCGAAACGTTGTACATTTGCTGTTACGTTAAACTTATATTAAAGTTTTTCTTCATTACCCATTCAAGCCGTCTCCAACCATTAAATAAACAGTAGTTGTTAAGGGTAGAGCTGGGCAGTTAGTGGTATTTGCTAATCATATAATTAATGGCCCCATTAACACACTTACCATGGGCTCAGACAAATCAACCGAGTTCATGACCCCCAAATTGACATTTGTAGTTTCTGTACTATAATTTCTAATGTGTTTTGTGTATCTTCACAGAATTTTGTACAATTACAGTAATCATTAATAGACATTTGTAGGGGGGGGTCAGAATTTGTAATGAAGTCTTTCACTTAAAATTTCTCTGTGAATATATGGAGTCAAAGTTTTGACTGCTCTGACTGCAAAATGATTTTCATGTTAAGATTGAAAATACTTTTCTTCATCTGAAAATTGTCATAATATGTTTGTGTAATGTAAATAAATTTCAAGCAGTATTTTTCAGTAAAACTATATATTTATCTGTTATTTTGTCTACCCTAACTCTATACAAGGTTAATCAATTTGACCGACCTCATAACCGCCATAAAAAAAATATGAAATAAATCTAAATTGCACCTTTTTATTTTCTAAAGTGACTTTAAATTGTAAAGTGAAACCATATTTGTTTATCCTAAATAGCTTAAAAACGCATAACAGTATACATCTCTTTTTTACTTCAGTTTTGTTTTATTGCCCTTTGAACTGTATCTAACTAATAATCCAGCCACACAAGATTCAAATTGCTTTGTGAATGCGTAGCTCATATTACCCTATCAAATTATGTAGGACACGGGCTACTTGTGAGTGTATCTCATGAAATATTTTTATTATTATTGTTTCTTGTCTTACCTAATCTAACTACAATGTTTCTAGTTTGGACATTTTAATTACTTTTATAATAATAAATAAAGAACATACATGAAAAACTAGAAAATTAACCCTACTTTTTTTATACTAATTGTACTACTGCACTAAATAATTTTTAGTTAATTAAATAATGCACCTAAGAACACAGAATAATAATATCTAAATAGTAATTCTTCTGGCTTTCTAACTATGCAATAAGTGCCATTAAAAATTCATCTAAGCTGGTTGATGTGTTTCTCTTGGGAATAATATATTTGAACTGGGTAACTATACTATGTTTAATTAGCTCACTGAAGCCACTTATAATATGTGACCCACCAGTGGGGGCACACGGCAGTGAACGTGTTAATCAGTTAAATTGGCCAAGTTCTGTTTGTATTACAACTGAATTCTAGAATATAGTCTTAAGACGTTTGGTGTGTTACTATGTCTTGCATTTTTACTTAATCTTTTAATGAATAACAGTACAAGAAAACTAATCTTCAGTTTCAAGAATGATGAAAAAAATCAAAATAAATGTACACGTTTAAGTGGAAAAGTAAGATTGTACTGTAAGTGTACTGATAATAGAGGTTAAGATGTGATATCTTCAGTTTTCCAATTTAATCATCAGATAGCTCTTCAATTAATTTTCAAACAACGTGTGTACAATTACATTTAGTTATAACGTTGTGAGATCATAAGTTATTTGTTACTATTTTCTAAGAAATAAAATTTGTTTTTGAAACAAATATTTTTTTTTTTAAGTCTTTACCAGAAAAATTTAAAGACAGGACAACCCACGCATCAGACAGTCCAGAAAATCTGTGTAAAAACAGATATCCTGACATAAAAGCATGTAAGTAGCATTGATATTTGTAATTTATTTTTAATAATTGAATTATTTATTTGACTCAACTACCTTAGTCAAAGAAATATTTATTGGGTGGTGTTTTGTAATGTGTATAAACACAGAGTATAATTAATACTTGAAAAATAATAAAGGCATCATGGAACACATGCTTATCTTTGTTTCCCTCAATTCTGTAAATATATTTATTTATATGCCTGAAATGTGGTAATCAACGTGAAATTCATAATTTATGTTTTAAGGAAAAGTTACTCAGATATTTTAAGATTTAATTTTTTTTTCAATATTTTTAAACTACTTACATATCTGATTAAAAAATGACTGAAATCTGTCAGATAATAAAATAAAAAATAATTCCATTGTGAATATAGAAACGAGCCTGTCAGGCATAATGCGTTACCTGATTTTCCAGGTGTGTTAGGTGTATGTCAAAAATACATGCATTGATGTACATGAAGAGTTGTGTTTTTGTTATATTTATATGGTAGTAATCAAATGTAATAAAAGTTCAATGCTGAAAATTATGTTTTGAAGATTTTTCATTTGCAATGAAATATGATTTATTAGAATTATTCCATGATTTTGTTACGATCTTCTGAACGAAAGCACTGAATAATCCTCTTGTATCAAAATCAGTGCAAGAAATAATAGTTAAAAGGTTCGGTTTGAACTTCCTTGGATACTTTAACATCGTTTAATTTATACCTTTTTTCCAGTTGATCAAACTCGAGTTCGACTTCCTTTTGAGGATGGCATTAAAGGTTCAGATTACATCAATGCTAACTTTGTTGAGGTAAGAGGATATTCTGGAAAGAGGTACAAGTAAAAAATAATAATACATATTGTGTAATCCTTTCTCACTGTGTAGTCCAGTTAAACTGCTGTGCAGGAAGCTACGTGAATATTATATAGTATGGAAGCAAAAACATAATAGACATAACGGCTGTTTTGTGTTTTGATAAGCCTGTTTAACTCTCTCACTATAGACTATAACTTTTAATACAGGAAGCTTATCTTCACAAAATTTTGCAGATTATCAGTAAACATTACAAGGCTCTAGTACACAAAATATCAGATTTAAGATTTTTTTAAGTAACGATTTTCTTGTGCGTTTTTTGTCTTTTCAAATGTTGATTATCCAACATGGAAAATAATTTTGATTTTAAGATTAGAAATACTTTTATGCATCAGAAAATTGTCAAATTTCACATGCAAAATCTTTATAACCTCCAGTTAATTATCAAATGTTAGTTTTAGAAAAAACTTTATATTTTATCTGTTATTTTCACTATTGTATCTCTGTACGGGTTCGGTCGATTTGACCAACCTCGTAACCAGCATAAAAAATTGGGAAAAATATATATAAATTATGCTTTTTTTGTTCTAGAATGACTATAAATTATAATAAGAAACCACAAATGTTTAGTCTAAATAGCTTAAATCTCATAACATTATACATCTATATATATATATCTATTTATTTTCATTTCATTGATCTCTCAGCCGTGTCTAACTAACATTACAGAAGTTGCAATTATGTAGTGCTTGTGCAGGTGTGTTACCAGTAATATAAAAACTGGCCTTTACAAAGTGACCTATCTTCGCATGTTCTAGTGAACCAGTATTTTGTAAATTACAGTCACTTTTCAGTTATAATACATTACTTGTGCATATATATTATTACTATTTACAAATAAGTTCTTAAATTTCAGTTATTTTTCTTAAAACATAGAACAGTAAATAAAGAAATATAGAAAACAATGATTTTTTCTACTTACCAACGTTTTACTTATTAGCCTGCTTGCGGTAATTTGCTAAGCCTTGTCAAATTTTTCATGTGGAGGATGTAAAACAAAATAATTTTTTAAGTTTTATACATGCATTTTGAAATAAACAAATATTATTAATTACTCTATCAATATTGTAAAATTCCACTGTAATTTATGAGGCTTACTAACTAAACTGGGCCGGCATGGCCAAGTGGTTAGGGGGCTCGACTCGCAATATAAGAGTCGCGGGTTCAAATCCCTGTCCCGCCAAACATGCTCGCCCTTTCAGCCATGGGGGCATTATAAAGTGATGGTCAATCCCACTATTCGTTGGTAAAAGAGTTGGCAGTGGGTGGTGATGACTAGCTGCCTTCCCTCTAGTCTTACACTGCTAAATTAGGGACAGCTAACGCAGATAGCCCTCGTGTAGTTTTGCATGAAATTCAAAAACGAACTAACTTAAACTATAATTTAGTAAAAACAAATATTGTTTTTTCAGACAACATTTTCACTTGCCAATTCCTTTGGGATTTCAAGACAAGGAAATAATCTTGGGAACTTCCCATCTTCTTTCCAGGGGGACATTCTGAGCTTCTGATTGGTTTTTCACACATTATAGACACAAGTAGGTGTATGCAAGCAAATGGAAAGAGGTGGGCAAGGCCACTGTGTTTGATTCACTAAATGTAGCAATATCTGAGCAAATAGTAAATATAAGATGTTCTTATTTTATATTCTAGCTTGTCAATCTTGGTAATTTGTAATAAACTATAGACTTTGTATTTGGGTATCACAAACATCTAATCTGAACTAAAGCTGTATTCAACATACCATGTGACACAAAAATTGATATTTTAGGAATTTCGTTTTAATATTTAGTTTTAAATTAAAAAAATATTAACTACTGTGTAATACTAAAATTTGAATTATAATCTACAATTTGATACCCAACTTATTGGCATACATTTATGAAATAATAGTTCAATAAAAATTTTTATGTAAGTCTACAAACGCCCCTTAATAGCCCCTTAATCCTAATCTGGTATTTAAAGTAATTCTAATCTGGTATTTACAGTAATCCTAATCTGGTATTTAAAGTAATCCTAATCTGATATTTAAAGTAATCCTAATCTGGTATTTAAAGTATTGTACTTGGAACAATGGGGAAGGAATATCTATAGAATTGATGTATAGGATGTTTATCTAGGTATCTCTGTTTGGAGAAAAGTTTTTCTAATTAATTATCTTTGATGATAATTGTAGGGAACGAGTACACTGATGCTTTCAAAAAGGTATTATATAATCAAGAGTGTTTGTTTGTAAGTAAGCACAAAGCTACACGATGGGCTATCTGAGCTCTGCCCGCCACGGGTATCAAAACCCGGATTCTAGCGTTGTAATTCTGCAGACATACCGCTGTGCCACTGGGGGGCAATCAAGAGTGAAATTGTTAAATTATATTCTTTGTTCTATACCTGAAGAAAGAGGGATTACTGTTTGAAATATTTTGGATTTGAGGTTTGACCAAGTCTGGCTTTCTGCTGAGTAATATAATTTATGAGAACTATGTGGTAACTGTAACAGCGTTAAAACAATAAGTTTACAGACATCTTACAGCATTTGTAAAAAAAAAAAAAAAATCAAGAACTCGTACTTAAGATCTTCATACATATATTGTTTGGTCTGATCCGTGAAAAATGATAAACTAGTTATTACTGATTTTAAGGTTACATGCTTTGAAAATCTGTGCGGCAATTTTTTGCAATCACCGTCTAATGGTGAAAAATGTGCGAAATTTTAATCGTCACGTGTAAAATTGCCGAGTAAAATATTGCAATTTGTTTGATGTATTAACATGCTAAATCCAGTTGCCAAAATAATTTACTTTCAACTTCATTGAGAAAGACTTCAGAATAATCTCATTTATTCCTTTAAACAGGGTTATCATGGAAGAAAGATGTTCATTTGTGCACAGGGCCCTCTGGAGCATACAGTGGTTGACTTTTGGAAGATGATCTGGGAACACAAGGTTACTGTAGTTGTTATGCTGACTGGAGTAGAAGAACATGGTAAAGTAGGTATTTGTAAATTTATTTTGGTTCACAGTAAGTAACTTGTAGGAATTTATGTAATACTAAACAGTGGTTTCATGTGAAGTTTGAGATGTGTTGTAAAACTTTAAAGATATGTTGGTTATTACTTTAATAGCTACAAAAAATATTTCAAATTTGTGAACAAATTGTATCGTTAAAGGTCAAATTGTCACAAATTGAAATCAAGCTGAAAAACAAAAACTCATCATTTAAGAAAACTATAATTAATGTACAAATTTTTATCCAAAGACTTAACTGATGCCGATAAAAATTATTACTATTACAAGGAGATATTCTTCAGTATTGAGAGAAGGAAGAAAAACCTGAGTGATTTATAAGTTTTCACACAGAACTACATATTACAGCAAACTCTAAATATTCTTTTAATTTATATTAGTTTTGTGAATCAAGCTTAATTTATTGACGTGTTAAAGATAAGGTTGATTATAAGTAATGAATCTCTTTCTCTCAAGATGAAGTGTTCCAAGTATTGGAGTGATGAAGAACTAAAAGAGGTGGAGAGGTTGTATACAGTTAATGTAATCAGCATCACCAAATACTCGGATTATTTGGTTAGAAGATTTCAAGTACAATTTACAAAAGTAGGTTTTATTTCTGTAAAGTTTATCTTCAGTTTTTTTTATCAAACCTGGCTTTAACATTCTGTAAATAATGGCATGTTGCAAATATCAATAACACAGTAATAGGTGTATTTAATTATTAATGTATTTATGTACACCCAAATGAACAGTATATGTTTTTTTCATTGTATTTTCTATTTATCTTCTGAATAATTTAATTTTTCCAAGTGTTAGATATGCACAACAGTTTGAGTTTAATGCAAGTGTTATGATTTTAGTAGTGCAAGTGTTAAACTTAGTTATTTTTAGAAGTGATAATGTATCACAGGTTTGTTTACATAACTGTTTACGAACAATACTTTGTATAATTCAGTAGTTATGAATTGGTGATTGTTATATTATTGTATAATGTTACTAGAACCTCCCGAGTTTTTCTTGTTGTTTTATTTCAGTATTATTGCATCATAATATCTTGTAGTGTGTGGAATGTTCTAGACCTCTATTGGGGTATAAATACACGTTGAAAATGTAGTTCTAAAGATAGATCTAGACTGAGTGATTGCGAGTTTAGCCGTAAAGAGAATATAGTGGCAGTTTTTAAAGTGCTTGGCAAAAAAAAATTTCCATGATCACCTAAAACATAACTCGTTAAAAGGATGTCAGCATATCACAAGTCTTTCTTGAATTACTTTTGCAACACAAAGTAAATATCGACCTTGATGGACAAAATTGAATTAACTGTTTTTTCTTCCATTTCATCTCATTCGCCAATT